ATGTGGCATCGATTTTGCGGCCGGTTTCTGAAAGAGCTTCGGCAAACATCTTCACGACCTAAACAGAAAAGAGAAAACAGTTAAACATAAGTAACCAGCGTTTAGTTCCAAATAGAAACATCGGGAATTCCACGCGAATTTTCTTTATTTCAGGTTGCTGTTCCGCAGCGAACGGCCAAAAATGTACAAAGTTTTAAAACGCACGTGCTGAGCTATCGTTCTGCTAGTTAAATCCTTTGATTCCCCACGGTCTTGTTGCCGTCGCCGTGGTGGTTTTTACTTAAACGCACGTGCTGAGCTATCGTTCTGCTAGTTAAATCCTTTCATTCCCTACGTTCTTGTTGCCGTCGCCGTGGAGGTTTTTTACTTAGGGTCCCAGTTTATCATAAGATTTCAACCGAATGTGACTATACCTCCAAGTTAGTTATGAGTGGGACTCCACAGTCGATGGACGATCTACGGATGAGGTAGTTATCTTTGATGTACTTGGTGTTCTGATTTGGCAAATTCACCACCAGGTCTACATCTTTATCTTGAATCAGTCTGTAACGAAACAACAACAGTGAGAGCTGAAAAATTTTAACACTCAAAGCAATAACTTGGAGGCAAAGGCTCGAAATGCATCGAAACCAGCACATTTCTGGCTTCCTATTCTGTCATTTCTTCAATCACAGTTCACCTGTAAGAATTGATTTGCTTTTGTAAACAATTCTGTATCATGAATTTTGATCACGTGGTCATGTCGTGGGGATGCACACCGATCACCGGGACATCCTGTGGGGGATGCGCACAAATAGCGTGGACATCCCATCGGGGTTGCGCGCAGATCAAGTGGACATCCCATGGGGGACGCGCGCCTATCAGGTGGACACACAATGGGACATGCTCATACATCAAGGACACATCCCCTATATTCGTTCTTTACCGACGGAACAGAGTGTCCGACTTTTTCCGTACGGCTTGATTCTTAGAAGATTTTGTACGAATAGGAAAACGCGAAAGTCCTTTGCCGCGGAAGAAGTTATCGTTATGAATATGACGAATAGGGAAAACTAAGCCGATGATACCCCACAACAACATCAGCGCGCCGAGCAAAATTCTAACCTTGTAGCAGTCGGGTTTACACCAACGCTGTGTAGAGGCCACTCTACGGGTTGCGCCGGAATATTGTGTTCGTTCAAATACTGCGCCGTAGCTTCTGTTGCGTATAGAGTGAATCCCAGTTGGCGAAGTTTGTTGGCTGTTGGGAGAAACTTTGGCTGCAAGGATTGCTGTTCAGAAAACAAAGAAAGGAACATAAAGGTTTCACCCAAAATTTTCCATAATCGCGCCTCATCCTAAAAGATTGTGATTTTCGCCAATCGTTACGATCGGCTTATAGAATCACCAATATCTGGCATATCAGAAATCAGCGATTTTCGCCGATCGACTTCGCGATTCATATTCGCCGCGATCGGCGAGTTAAATCGCCACGTGAGTCAGTGGCTTTAAGTTTCACTTTGACCCGACCAAGGTTCGAACCCAGGCCCTTCATTACGGAGTCTGGCACGGTCACCACTACATACAACCCGGCATCTGGAATCTTAAGATGGGTTACTAACAGTTACTCTGTCAATCATCTTACCTGAATACCAATCAGAATGCCTTTCTTAGGCAGACGGAAGCCAGTTGACATCAAAGCCTTGAGAAACGCTGAATTGGCAGTGGATCCAAAGCAAGCCACCTGTAAATCGTCAAATGTAAACGTATTACGAAACAGCATTATTTTCAATTTCTTTATGGCACAAACACGTTAAAATCACGTAAACATCCCTATGTGATTGACTCACGTAAAACCTAAATCAAAGAATTCACAACGGCCAATCAGA